CTTGGTCCCAGCCACCTATACTGTGAGGACTGGGTTCCATCCTTGGCTTGTTTGGGTTGTGATTTGTTGTCCCTTAGCCTGTTGTGGTTTCCTGGGTTGTAGTTTGGCTATGTTTGCTGAATTTGTGGGCTTCTAGTTTCTAGTTTCCTGTCTTGCTGCTCCACTGAATTGTAACCTGCTGATTTTCGTGACAATCGTTGGTTACATCTTCTTCGCCAGTTACAATCGCTAGTTTTCATGGCAATCGGCTGTAACAGTTTGCTGGCTGTTTGTATTGGACTTGGGCTATTATTTTCTTTCAGTTGTAGGCTGTAATTTTCCTAATGGGCTTGGTTACTTTCTAATGCACTCGTTGGGCTCTCTGTTGGGTCGTTTGTTATGTTGGACCATTTGAACACTGCGCATTGCACATTGTTCGCTATGAACAATACCACTTTCATCAACAGTAACGCCGCTCCTATTCACCAGCTATATAATCTGATTTAGATCATATTACCATGCTGTTAGAGCTTGGTTGTTTTGTTGGTTCAACCATGCATAATTATTTTGTGGATTTCTCAATGGTTTTGAATGGTGGTCGTGATTCGGCCCAAAATGCTAGTCATGGAAGTTGATACACGGCATAGTGGTGGTCGTGGTCGTGGTCGTCCTTCTAAGAGGAAGTGTATTTATTATAGTGTTACAGGACATTCTAAGAGCTATGTTTGGGCCAAGTATGGGAGAACATCATATGCTAATCAGGCTTCTAATGATATTTCAGGTTCTCTAGTACATCAAAATTCTATCAATGGTCCAAATTCTCTAGTACATCAAAATTCTATCAATAGTCCAGTTGCATCTACTCCAGGCTCTATTGATGACCTTTCTTTTCAGCTTGGTCAACTCATCCACCAGTTATGTTTACTTTCTCTATATTTATCTGCTCCTGTGGAGGTAACTTTGCATATGTGGTTGCTAAACTGTCTTTGCCATCTTGGATCATTGATACAGAAGTTAGTGCTAATATGTGTAGTAATTCTTCCCTATTTTCTAATTTTCATTTGTCTAACTAACATACTATACTAATTGTTGGTTCTTTTCGACCACTACATGAGACTGATGATCTCCATCCTACTGCGTCCATGTCATTATTCTCTAGTTTGTTTATTCCTAATTTTCCCTTTTAATTTGTTGTATGTGATTCAATTAAGTAAGTCCTTATAGTGTTCAGTAACAATTTCTCCATCTTCTTTTGTTTTTAAGGACCTCAAAACAAAAAAGATAATTGGTTTAGGGCATAAGCAGAATGGCCTTTATTATTTAGATTCTTGTGGTTCTATTCCTGTCTTAAGTTCTAGTGTGTCACCTCTTCAGTGACACTTCCGACTAGGTCATCTCTCCTTGCAAAAGTTGCATCAAGTTATCCAGGGTTTGAGTTCTTCCTCTATGTTAGAATGTGAGGTTTGTCAATTGGGCAAACATCACCACAGTTCCTTTCCTCCTTCTTCAAGTCGACAGTCTAGTCCATTTCATGTCGTTCATACAGACATATAAGGTCCAGCAAGAGTCAAAAGTATTTCTTATTTTCAGTATTTTGTAATCTTTGTTGATGAGTTCTTGTGTATGACTAGGTTATTTCTTATGAAAGACTGATTTGAATTGTCTAAAGTCTTTACCACTTTTTATAATGAAATTCTGGTTCAGTTTGATATACGAATTAAAGTTCTTTAAAAAAAATGAAAGTTCTTCAATTTGACAATGCTCTTGAATATACTCAAAAGTTTATGAAAATCTTTTGTGCTAACTATAGCATTATTCATCAAACATCTATCCACATACCTCCAAAGAAAATGGCATTGCCGAACGTAAACATCGTCATTTGTTAGATGTTGCCCACACCTTGATGTTCAACATGCATGTTCCAAAACCACGTTGAACTGATGTTCTTACTTCAATATATCTTATTAATCGCATGTCTTCCCCCATTTTAAACAACCAATCTCATTTCTCTTAAATATATCCTAATAAACCGCCATTTAGTCTCATTCCTTGTATCTTTGGTGTATTGTATTTGTTCACCTTATTTGTTCAAGTTGGAATAAACTTGCACCTCGTTCGGTTAAGTGTATCTTTTTGGGATATTCTCGTACTCAAAAACGTTATCATTGCTATGACCTTATTTCTCGTCGATACTATATTAATGCTGATGTTAACTTTTTTCAGTCGTGTTCCATCTTTTCTAAGTCAAGACATATACTTTCTCTAGATTTAGTCTTTCCCAGTCAGGAAGCTCTTATTACTTATTTTACCTGAATGTGCATCTTCTGCTTCCCCGATTACTACTACTCCTTTGCGGGTTCAACATCGTTCCAAAGACAGACATGTTTCATAAACTCTAGCCCCATAGTCAATCTCTAATTCTATTGAGGTCCTGCTTTTTGAGCCATCAACTAGTTCAACCTTTTATGATTTATCTATTACATTGAGAAAAGGTGCTCATATTTGTACCCATCGTCCCATTTCTAATTTTCTCTCTTCACATCGTCTTCCTTCACCCTTTCCTTGTTTTGCATCAGTCATGTCTTCTGTATTTGTTCCTAGTTCCTTGCAACAGGAATTGACGTAAGCCCTTTATGACAATTATACATGGAACCTAACCCCTCTTCCTTCTAGTAAGTAGTCTATTAACTGTTGTTAAGTCTACACTGTGAAATATCATCACGATAATTTTGGTGAGCGTTTTAAGGCATGATTGGTTGCCAAAGGCTACACGAAGACACATTGTGTGAATTATAGTGAGGTTTTCTCTCCGGTTGCTCGTCTTAACTCTATTAGAGTTTGTATTTCGGTTGCAATCAGTTTTTATTGACCCTTGTATCTACTGGGCATAAAAAAGGTCTTTTTACACAGAGATCTGCAGAAGGAGGTATATATGGCTCAGCCTCCAAGTTATGATGCTCCTATAATAAAATAATTAGTGTGTCATTTGAAGAAAGCATTGTATGATATGAAATAGTCACTATGTGCTTGATTTGATAAATTCAATGTGTACTTCAGTTTGGCTTTCAGCGCTCCACTTCTGATCTTTCAGTTTTTATTTGTAGGTCTTCTACAGGCATTATTATCGTTATTGTATATGTCGATGACATTATCATTAGTGGTAATAATTCAGATTGTATAGCCCACTTTAAGATCTATTTGGGAAAACAGTTTTATACTAAAGATTTAGGACTACTTCGGTACTTCCTAGGGATTGAGGTTGTCAAGTCAAAAGAATGTATCAGTTTGTGCCAACAGAAATATATATTGGATTTACTATCTGAGATTGGTATTCTTGGTGCGTGTCCAGTTGACACTCCTATGGACTCTGTAATTAAATACTAAGAGTGGAGAGTTTTTTTATAACGTAGGACGATATTGGAGGTTAGTTGGTAGACTTATTTATCTCACAGTTGCACGCCTTGATATTACATATGTGGTTGGTGTGGTTAGTCAATTCATGCATGCCCTCAAGATCCTCCTCATTGGGAGGCGATCTATTGTATTCTTCAGTATCTCCTATCATCATCCATAACTATTACCAATTTCTCTGATACTGATTGGGCAAATAGTCATAGTAATAGACGATCTACTTATAGCTAAAGTACGTTTGTTGGGCATAACTTGGTTACTTGCGCAGTTGCACGATCTAGTGCAAAGGCTGAATATCGGGCTATGGCTCATACTGCGTATGAAATGTTGTAGGACCGGTCTTTACTTCGTGATATGGGTAGTAATGTCCCTTCTCCTATGCAGATGCATTGCGACAACCAAGCAACAATTTTCATTGCGAGTAATCCAGTATTTCATGAGCGTATTAAACACATTGAGGTGGATTGTCATTTTATTGGAGATTTATTGATGCGAAAGGAGATTATCGCTCCATATATCAAGTCTTGTGATCAACTAGGTGATATTCTTACTAAGCCACTAGCTTGATCTGCAATCAGTGTTTTATGTTCCAAGTAGAGCATCTTTGATCTTTATGTTTCAGCTTGAAGGAGTGTTAGAGTTCTTATTTTAGTTATTAGTTATAATTTTTAGTATAGGGTAATATTGTAATTACCCTAAATCCTTCTCTACTATAAATAAGAGAGTGTAGGACAACAAAAAGCCTACAAACACAGTTTATTCATAATTTATCTTTTGTTTTATCTTTCCCTCATTCTTCTCTAACCCGAATATTATTGTCATAAACTTGCATATTCTTTCTCATGTGCAACAGCCTTCAAGACTATTCTCTTTTTTTTTTATCAATTACTTCTGTGTCCTAAAATTTCCAACTTCAAAAATCTAGCAATGGAAGGGAAAATGTAACTTCACCTTTGAGACTATTCCCTTTCTGTATCTATGACTTGTTTTTTAAAATATCCAACTTCAAAAGTCCAGCAATGAAAAGGGAAATTTTCAATTCATTTTGCCTTATTTGCAAATTAGTCAGGGAAAACAAATAACACAAAGCAATAGCTAGCTTAGAGTAATATGTCACAGGAAATGATAACTGAAAACTGAAGTACTTAATTAGCCTCTCAACATGGCAGAGTCAAGTTACCATGTTTCCCAGATCATGTACAGGTCAAAACAATGCTGGCTCAATGTGAAACTAAATATTCAGTGGTCCTTATAAATATATAGTCAGAACTATCTATTGAGCACTCATGTATCAATTATACTGAGGATAATTGAGCACTCATGGCTCAATGTATCTAATTATTCAGTGTTCCTTATAAATATATAGTCAGAACTATCTATTGAGCACTCATGTATCAATTATACTGAGGATAATATAACATGCAAACAAACTGTAAAGTAATTACCGTGGCTGAAACCTATGTGGTAAGCCCTCGGAAAAGTTACAACAAATTCACCAGGATTCTGTATTAACCTAAAAAAGAAACCAGGAAAAAGTATTGGTAGAACATCTGCAAAGCAATAAGCAGGATATATCCAACATCAACCTAATGTCCACAAATCCACCAAAATTAGTGTAAAGTAAATTCATGAGTTCCAAATCGAAAGAGGATGATAGGAGGAACTGCAGATGATGTCAGACAAGAAGTGACCCACCTGCAACATGGAATGCCCGATGCGACAACAACTTCAGGTGATAAAAGAGTAGTCTTCTCGCCCAAAAGTGTAAGAGCAGCTGGAAAATAATAGAAAATTTATAACAAAAATAAAAATAAAAAAAATGACCAGGGTTACAAAAATGCTGTAGAGCAATCAACTCCTAGAAAATTAACATTGATGTAATTTTTCCAAAGTGAATGAGGACATATAAAATGGTGTGGTTATCAAAGCATCAGACCTCAACCAACCTTTAATTTGTCCAATCTTACATTCTTTTAAATAGTAAAACGTATTCAGCAATGATACAAGAGTTGAAAATCAATGTTCTTCTCTTTTACATACAAAAAGTGCATTCAACAACACAAAACGAATGCAGATAATAAAGACAACAAAAAAGAACAACCTTGTTATTGATGCTTGGGTTTTTTTTATGATCTACCAGCCCCAGTGATTTGTTGTTTTCACATCCTGAAGACAATTCCTTATACAATTTCACGATTACAAAGAGATTCACAATAATTTGTATAGTTTTCCCATAGAAGCTACAAACTTAGGAAGTGATATACGCACAGATGCATAATTTTTCCTACCAACTGAAGAAGAAAAATAAGAAAGAGGAGGAGAAAAGTTTTCTTGAAAGGTAAAGCACTTCCTATGTACCCATCTCTCTATTGTCAACAAAAAATACTAATCTACAATCAAAGCACTTCAATTATACGATTTGGAATTTAAATGACATATTGACCATCTTGGAAGTAAACATAAGTACATAACAAAAGGGGAAAAAAGGAATGATTGTGAATTTCTTCAATAAGAGACAATGAAATTGTGAACTAAAGACCAATGAATACAATAAGATGGGATGTTTTCATTAAATTGACATACTTCTTTTATTGTTAAGTGATGGTTATAGGATTCATGCGCTGGTGCCCCCTTCTTCATAGGTTCACCTCTACCCCAAGGCTAAGGCACCAGTTGTTTAGATTGACATACTTAAAATTGTCGAAGTTAGGCAGGGTTGCCATCATTCTGAATTCCTGATCCTTACAGATTCCTATTAAGTAGAAGTTCAAAATTCATGTATCCTCTTCTCAATGAGCGTTGGGCTATGCTCCCATGGATCTTTTATTCACACTTCAATGCTTTCTCTCATGCTTCAAGAACTTATCCTCTTTTTTCTCAAAAATTATGTGGAATGGTAGTTGAACCCTATTAAACAAATATGCAGTTAAGTCTTTTGTACTACATTTCTTTTGAATTAATCTTTTCGAATACATTTATTGTTGCTATATCCCTTAGGTAGGAAGTAAACTGTTCAATAATCCATCTATCCCATGGAGGGGGCAGAACACACCCAATCATTCTCCATTGCACCATTTTTAGTAGGGATAAAGGAAATCATTTGGTAAATGAAAGAAAATAAAATTGTGTAATTCCATAGAAAAAGGCTTCTGTAGATTACACATTCACGACAGATATATTTTTTGTAACAGGAAACCATGCGCAATAAAAATGTTTATGGTAGAAAGAAACATCTATAACTGAGCAAAAATAATACTTTAGAGGGCTTTAAAATCTTCAACATGAAATGGTAAAAATTCTATTGCTTCAGTGGCTGATCCTCCACAGCTAACAAAACCTGTCCTTTCCAATTGCACATCCTCAAGCTCGTAACATATGGAAACAATGTCTTGGCAAGTTTACGTATAAAGTACAGTGCCTACATGCAGTTATTCCAAGTAGGGGGTCATGCCAATGATACCAAGGCAAGCCTACTGTACAAGCAAAAGTTTCTTTTCATCTTTTGAAATTCCATTCGAATTTAAAACTTCAGGATTCGGATTTTTTCCAGAGACATCAACGAAAGTATGGGAACCAGTAAAAAAATCATGGCATTGCCATTTAGATCATCTCTCATGCTGGCAATGTTTTTCAGATATTGAACAGTAAACATTTACATACCAAATCGGTCAATATTTCCTCCATAAGCCTGGTTACGAATGACTTCTTCAAAAGTGAATGCATAGTCTCCTGGGACTGCATACCAAGTCTTAGGAGAGCCAGTATGAAGGAAATTCAAGCTGTGCAGTTCATGATCTTCAACATGCCAAGCAAACCAGCTGAACAACATACCAATATAGATCATGGGGGAAGTAACACCCGGGATATCATCCGGCATGAATCGTGTGAGTGAGCCGGGTGAACGTGAAATCACTTGTAGATTCCACGGACTGTTTGAAAGCTTCCAACCAGCAGTACCTTCCATCTCATTACTCACACTTGAACCCTTCTGCCTAGCAAACAATGAGGTTTGATCTGACAACACAGCCGATGAATAAATAGATGCCTTGGAAGGCTCCCCAAAGAAATTAGAATCATTATTGGTGGATGCGTCTTGATCAGCATTGTTATTGCTCACAGTATCTACTGGATGTTTCCTGCAATCAGAGCTGCCTCGATTGTTTCGATCAAACATCCTTCTCCTCCTCCGCCTACGTCTATGAAAATATCGAAATGATCCCTCTGGTTCTCCAAACCCAGAGCCAGGCACATCATTCGCATATTCCACATAAATAGGCTTCTCAGAAGCAGCCTTCCAAAACAGTGACTCTACAACTAATGGCGAAACCTCCTTAACCGTACCTAATTGGCTCCTAGCAAAAGCCTTTGATTTTGTTTCAAAATGATCCAATGTATATACCTCCCCACTTTGCCACACTTGTTTTTGAACCACCGATGGCTGCGGCTGAACCACCCCCTTAGTTCTTTTCACACTCTGACCCAGTTCCTGGTGCCTCGTTGTAAATACTGCCTTCGCCTCCCCATCATTTCCTTTATCCCTGTTCTCTGTTGTCGACGGTAGACAAACACCTGACAAATCCTCATCTAAACCCAATTCGGGGGACCTTAAAAGGGACTTATTTAAGTTGGAAATAACATATCTTTTTGAAGGTTTAGGCACTGGTGGAATGACCTTACATATACCAAAAAAACTAGCCTCTTTCTCGATTTTGGATATGTAAGCAATTGGGTCTGCGAATTCAGTGTCAGTTGGCCGAAATTCAGGTGCCAATGGCAACCCTTTGAGCCAGTTGGGTATTTCAACATCCCTCATTGCAACGAACGACTAAAACCGATAACACAATTTCAGCCCAGAAGCTCAAATAAACCAATTAAAAACCTCTACAGCCTCCACAGCATAGATATTCATTATACTGCAAACCCTAGATAGGACATTTGTAACGAAATTGTTTGTGGGTGAAGTGGTGAATGAAACTACATTTGAGTTCGTAAATCAAGAAATTAACAAAAAAGGAAGCATAATTCAAGAATTAGACCAACAGTAGAACCTGTAAGCTCAAATGATTGTGACGGGTTGCTCCAAAAGCGCCAGAGAAATAGATAGAGGTGATAATTCGTATTGTAATGTCTAGGTTTTGAGGGACACTATAAGCTGCGTAAGATAGAGTTTCCTAAATTGATTTCCTTAACGTACGCCGGTAAGGCACAGCGCAAAATTGACACCGTTGCTGAATTATACGATTTCAGTTGGGTGGTGCGCGGTTGGCGAAGTAGACTTATAGTGTTTAATAAAATTGAAAATTAAATTTGAAAAATGAAAGGTGAAAGTTAAATATTGGATTTCTAATATTGAATTTATAGACTGTTTGGAATCTATTAAAATTTAAATACTGAATTAAACCAAACTGTTTAATAACTATATAAAATTGACGTTTAAAAATAAATTAATTTTTAGTTTTATCCTTCTATTATTTAATTTAAAAATATTTATAAAACATCTTTTTAAGAAAAAATGACAATATATCAAATCAATAATAAATTAAATAACAAAATAACTGAATAATAATATCTGATCAAAAAAAAAAGAACAACGACAAATAAATAATCGAATCACAAAAAGTAAACAACAACAAATTAAATTACACAATAAATAAACAATAACATCTGATAAAAAAATAATAAATAATTGGATAACAATAAATAAAAAAATGAATAAACAATCAAATTAAAAAAATAGAATAAATTAAATCTCATTAATAATGTGTGTGTGTGTGTGTGCAATTTGTGCGTGTGGGTGGGTGGGTGGGGGGTACAGTGCATATCTGTGTGTGTATGTGGGAGTGGGAGTGGGTGTGGGTGTGGGTGTGTGTTTCAACATGTTTATAGCAATGAGCGAAGAAAAAAAAACATGAAGAAGAACACATATTATCTGAAAAAGACGACTGACAAGGAGGATAAATAGGTTAGGAGATTTGGTGATAACACTACCTAGAGTTTTAGTAGGATTATAAAATATTATAGGGTATAATTGTCATATTACAAATATTATTAAATATGATTTTACTGAGCGCTTTTAGCTTTCAGAATTAAATAAGGGATCTCCTACTTAATGTTATAGCTTGTTTTAAAGAAGCACTTAACATATTAAGATATTGAAATTTTAGTTATTAAACGAGCTTAATTAATAAGTATCAAATACGTTCATTTTAAGTGTTGAATTTGGGTTAACAAACATATCCTTAATTCATGTATAAAAGTACGGTGCAGTGCGAATGATTTTAAGAGGAATATTAGTGGCCGTTAGATGAGTCTATTTGATATCATCGGATGAATTTATTGAAACTTGTCATATTTAATATTATAAAATTGTTTTCATTCGAATCGAAATTTATAAATCCTATTTAAAAATTTTAATCGATTATCTAACAAATTTTATGGACATAGTTTATATTCAAAAATAAATTAAACTTTGGATAGTCAATTTGATTAGTGTTAATTTTAGTGAAATACTCTTAAATTTTATTTGATTTTATCAAGAACTAAATTGCATAACATATTTATATGTATTTACACGAAATTATGATAAGGAGTAGCAACTATATTGTGTCTTTTCATGTCGTGTTAAATTATGTTTGTATCGAACACTAGTCAATCTGAATCTGCCCTATTTAATTAATCATGTTAGATATCTTGAAAATAACATGACTTTTTTATTATCGTGTCGTGTTTAAATTAATTCATATTAACACGTGAATAAAAAATTTAAAATTAAGATTCTATTGTCTCTAATTTTATGATACATTAAAAATTAACTAAATCCATATTAAAGTCAAAGCAAGTAAAAAAAAATTCTTGCATTTTACAAGGATTCATGTCAATACTTAATAAAAAAAATGACAAACAAATTAACATTTTATTAATACAATACTAGTTTAACGTATTAATTATATTAATTTCAAATTATTCGTATTTAACACTAACTTCACTTGTTTCTTATCTATATTAACATGTCGTATAATTTTTTTTTTTTTGGATTCATGTCAAGACGTTGTAAACACTAACTTACTAATTTTTATATTGAAATTGTCGCATTTATCAAAAATTAGCATCTCTAATTAGGAACAAACATAAACAAATTCAAAGTTGAATAATTCGCAAAGAATAACAATTCATACTCATCTAGTTCGATTCGAATTTGAATCAGATTTAGATCAAAAATTTTATTATTGCACATTATTTTTTGTTTTGTTTAAGAGAAAAAGAAATTTGATTTGTTTGGACTTGGGCTTATTAAACTATTTTTACATCATTTTATTGAAAAGATAAATATAAAACCACCAATGGATACCTCCTATTTTAATCTTTCATAACAAAGTTGAAGATGAGTTCATAAATGCACTTAAAAATAAATTAAAAAGATTGTCTTTAAATTTAATTTCTCAAACTGCAAGTATAGAGCAATTTGAATCTGAAATTCAACAATTTGAATATTCTTTACACCAAATACAAACTGAAAAAATAAATAAAATTGGATATTTTAAACCTAAAAGGCAAAATAATAACTATTAACAAGCCCCTCAAATGAGAGCTTATTATCAAAGAACAACACCTTAAGATATTTTATATGAAGAAAAATTTTTTATTGATCAACAAGGATATGATGACTCTTCAATTTATAAATGGAATATTGATGACATGTCCGAATATGTAATTCACCAAGTTTTACATAAAATCTTAATATATGCATAGATATGTCGTGCTAATCGTAATTCCGATCATGCTACTGCTAAGTTTATAACTACAGGATTTACTGGTCAATTAAGAGGCTAGTGGGATAACTACTTAAGTCCAACCCAACAGAATAAAGTCTTAAATGCAGTAAAAATAATAATCAGCCGCAGATGGTAGTATAACTACTCAAGAAGATGTTGTTTATGCATTAATACAAACAATATTAACACACTTTGTAGGGACAAACTTACACAGTACAGATAAGAGTAAAGAAATCTTAATGAATTTGAGATGTCCCACTTTAACACATTTTAGGTAGTATAAAGATATATTTTTGGCTAAAGTTTTATTAAGAACAGATACCAATAATGAATTTTGGAAAAAAAAATTCATTTCAAGATTGCCCAATCTATTTGCTAAAAAAATAAGAATACGATTAAGGCAATGACATGGAGGATTTAAAATCCCTTACGAAAATTATACTTAAGAAAAATTAATATATGTATGTGTTTCAGAAGGTTTAGCCCTTTATAATAATTAAAATCTTAAAGCACAAATTAAAAGACAAAAACTAATTGGTTGTAAGAATTTAAAGAATTTTGTGATCAGTTTGCTTATCATCTGGATATGCCTAAAGAAACATCTACAAAAAGAAAGTCTTATCCTAAGTCTTTCAAGAGATAAAAGAAATTCCATAAAAGGAATTATGATAGAGCGAATTAACTCTAAAGGAATTTTGACTACCATAAATGGTCAACAAATATTATTTGAGTTTATAACTCCACCGCAAATAAAAATGATAAATCAACTAAAAGAAAATTTAAAAAATTATTTTTCTAACCCCTCTTGGAGTGATACAATTGCAGGAAAACAAGAAGTTCTAAAAATGGATTCATTCTCACTTGGCCCCATTGCCAAATCTTTAGAACTTTTTGACTATATTTGTAACTATGCAGGTGAAGATATTTTTAGCTTTGCTTCTACATGGCAAAATAATTGCTGCAAAGTTTCACTTTGGTGTCTCTACTGCCACGCCATGGAAGAACAATTAATTGATAATGTTCCTATTTTTCTATTAAGAATTACTGGAGCTATTAAAGATTTTCCTGAATTTCGTCTTATACTTGAAATAAATGATTGGTATTATGATTGGAGATATAAGCAATGGATGGAGAATATTGCTCCAGAAGAATTCTGCTATCTTATGATAAATCGAAATGGGGGTATAATGGTAAGAACCCACTTCTATGCATATAAACATGTATATTATTCTAATGACTATAAAATTGTTTACCATGCATATAAAAGCGCATATTATTTTGATCTTTATAAGGATGCTAATTATTTTAATGCATATAAAAATGCTTATTATCCACCTTTTAATAAGTTACAGATTAAAGCTGCTATTATCCACCTTTATTTTAATGCACATAAAGGTGATGCTGAATCTTCACATAAAAGTAGTAAAAGATCTTACGAAGAAGGCTCATCACATAAAAGTGACAATAATGGGATATCATTGAATGAGCATAGCTCAAGAGACAAAGCTCTGTTAACCAATTTTAGAACTTTAACATTATCTCCATATAAGGACAATTATATTGTCTCGTTTAATGCCTTTTTAAATAATTATAAGATATATTCTGAAAAAATTTATTTGACTTATATAAAGACAAAAGTCCATCCTTAAAGAACAATGATATTTTGGCCAAACCCATTATTAATTTCTCAATGGAATTCTTTGTTCCATGGATTTAAATATGGACTTTGGCTTGTGATTTTAATCATAACGGACATCCCCGATTAATCAGGGAATGTCATGTTTATTACTGAAATAATTATCCTCTTGAACCTAAATGTAAAATCATAGAGGAATGTTTTAAAGACACGGGAAAAGAGGGAGAGGAACCGTCCACCTCAAACTCTATTGTTCCCACTACCAGTACAACTACTGGATTTAATCTCATTGAAGTTCTTAAAGAATAAATTAAAAAGGAAAAACCACATTTAAATACTGAGCAGTTTAAAGCAGCAGTTATGGAGGAATGACGTCTCCAGGTGATCTCTACATTTGACATGAGC